TAGAAATATATATAATTACTAGAGAGCTAAAAGCTAATATAATAAAGATTTCTAAGAAATACTTATAGTATAGTAAGCTATTTAGCAGAAGGCTAGAGATAGAACTACTAAAGTATTTATACTAAAACTATAAAATTAAAGTTTAGCTTAATACTAAACTAATATTTAGTAGAATTTATTTATAGAACTTTAAGTAAAACTAAGTGCTTAAGAAGTATTTAGAAAATATATTATAAAAGAAATATATATAACTATTAAAGTCCCTAGTAAAATACTTAATTTTATAAGTACTAAAGAAGAATAAAAAACTATAACTATATATTAATTACTAATACTTAAATAAAATTATAATTAAGAATTAATACTTATTACTACTTATAATAGAAATATAAAATAAAGTTAGAAAAGTAAAGTAGTTTACTATACTTAACTTAAAAGAAGCTTATAACTTTATATAAATTAAAAAAAGCTATAAGTAAATAATAATATTTTAAACTAATAGAGAATACTATAAATATTTAGTAATACTTTTTAAGCTTATTAATATATTAGTAACTTTTTAGAGAATAATTAATACTATTTTATAGAAACAACTAGAAGTATTTATAGTTATATACCTTAATAATATTTTTATCTATTTAAATACTCTTAAGAAATATAAATAATATATATATAAAGTACTATAAGTTCTATAAAATAATAAACTCTTAGTTAAAGTATTAAAATACTAGTTTTACTAAAATACTATATACTTTTTAGAATATATACTTATATATAGTAAGATATAAATAAGTCTAAATAAAATTAAGATAATTAAGAAATAGCTAATACTAATAAATCTAAAAGAAGTTAGAGAATTTATAGTATTTATAAACTTCTATAGAAAATTCCTAAGTAAATATAAAGATATATTATAACTTCTTATAAACTTAATAAAGAAAGAAATTAAATTTTAATAAAATAATAAAGAAGCTAAAGTATTCTAGAAAATAAAAAAGTTAGTTATATTAAAACTTATACTAAAAGT